AAGGATCTTCGTCGCAGTGTCTTGTATGCTGTTAAGAGTTTTGTTGATCGCATCTGCCATCGCATTCAAACGTTCTTGAGAGGGGGCTGGATTGGAGCCAATGTTTTGGTTCAATGGATATGAAATTGCTGATCCATAAGATGAGGTCAGCGATGAGATCCTACTATAAAACTGGCCCAATGGAGAAGAAGCTATCTTACCGCCTTTGACAATATTCTGAAATAATTGAGCTGTTTCACGGGACGATTGAGTGGTGGAGCTTCCAGCTGAGGCCGTGACCGCTCCAGCAAACGCCTCGATGGCTGAATGAGCATCTGACTTAACCTGAGCTGTCACCATCTTGGGTGAGCTCATATCACTTGGAAGTGGACGTCCTGATACAGTGGCAGGCCCATATCCCGAGGTAGTAGGAGTAGGAGTTGTATACTGAGCCGATACAAGCCCGGTAGTGGATAAAAGCAAAGTTAACGTGTTGGCTGTGCTGGTGCGCATGTTGCCAATTGGGAAGTCAGAAAATTTTGTAGTTTCCTCGAAAGACGCAAAGAATGACCTTCTGAGAAAAAAAAAAGGAAAAATCACAAAAGTAAAAATGAGTGAATCAAACGAATGAAAAGTCTGGACGGATGCAGATGAGATGGATATTGGGAGCTTCGTGAAGGCCGGATTCAACTGGTTACGAATAGATCAATTCAGGGAGTATATAAAGAAGATGAAGAATGCTAGAGGGATGAGGTTTTGTGAATTAAAAGTAGATATTCGAAATAGCTTAAGGATCTCTTCGAGAGTAGAAGACTGGCCAAAAATTAAAAAACTGAGATGATGGACTTGTTTGATGCACTCCGATGGCTTTAAGCGTCCAAAATCGAATTCGATTCTCAAGAACTGACCCAAAGAAAGGCACATTCAGTGTGATTGCGAACGAAGCGTCAAGTATCGGGTCAGTGAGCGAGGTAATTCCAAGGCTGTTGATAGCGAAAGACTCAACGGTCAGGGGAGCATGTTCACCAGTGACAGTCGAACAAAATCGAACCAGACAGCATCAACAGACCAAAGTGATCGTCGGTGACCATGCAAGATCCGCATCAGCTGCCGAAAGAAATGAGCAAGTGATCCCGCTTGGATTCATCGCCGTAAGAGCCGCAGTTTTGACGAATGCGAATTTCACCCAAACCCAGGTTAATCAGCTCCATATTTGAGATGATTGGGCAACGCAAATTAGAAATCTTGGACCAAGCTACTTACTTCCTTGTTCTTTCGCATGGTGTATGTACATCACAAATCAGCCCGTACAAATTTCTGATTACGCCTTACAACATGCGACCCGAGTGAACCGGCCTGAATAACTAAGAAAACCAGAATGCTCACCCATCGTGGCCTATGTCAAACTTGGGAACCGGTCAACGGGAGAAGAGATGTGACCTGGTTAAGGTGATGGAACCACGAAAATCCATGTTTCGACAGACCTACGTTGCCGATTGTCTCATTTCTTGCTGTTTTGCAGAAAGTCTGAACATATAATAGAGATGAACATGTTTTCTATCAGGGTTTTGATCAAGCTTCTCGCTCGCCGAGATGGACTTGTTCAGGTAGAGCGAAGAGCATTGAACAAGCCAAGAAATGTGGGTTCTGATCCAGGCGTTCAATTTTGTTTCCTTCTCTGGAAAAGATAGCCGCTTTGCCTGAAAACTTGATGACATTGTAATTATGTTGTATGATGCAGATCATTACTTGCTCGTTTCTCAATCATAAGTGGGATCGATGGGTGAATGATAACATGGGTGCGTCTAGAATGTGTGTAATAGCGGTCTCTGTTGAGGCATAAGGTTAATTGATCACTGATGACCTGGCAATATTCGAGGTATCGGTTCTCGAAGTGTCACATAGACATGTAGTTTTGAAGTCCTTTATCCTAAGTTATTCTAACATGTTTTTCAACTAGTTACGAAGCAAAAGAGTAATAGGCGAAACAAAGTACGACAAACATCGATTAAGGTGAAGTTGCGTATAGGCATGTCGGGCAAGAAAGTCCTTAAGGGAGGAGCAATTCGAGGGAAAACAGCGTGAGGTATAGAAAAACAACATTAGAGAAAAGAAGGGGCATCGATTGTATCTCATTAAATTACATCAAGATCATGGGATATTCATAAGATAAAAATCTGAAGCGCAAAAAATAAAGGCATCATTAGCATAAGGACGAAACAAAAGAGGACCAAGATTGGATGACAAACCATTGTAAAAGTCCACGGTCATAGACCAATTTTGAAATTCGTTTGAGGCACTCAGACAGCGTTAGAGTCCTACAAGGCGAACGGGGAAGACAACGAGACAATGAGTCAGGATATGAAAAGTTGAGGATGAAGGAAAGACTGACGGATTTCATCTGTTGGTCGTTTAAGCCAAAGATGGTTCGACCACCGAAGCCACCGATTCCAGCGCCGAAACCGAGACCACCGCCGATTCCACCCATTCCGCCGAAACCAAGACCCTGAAGTCCAGGGAGGAATTGGTTTTGGAAGATGTTGAAAGCACCGGGGCATGCGGCGATGACATTACATTGACCCCATCCGAAACCAGCACCCATGAATGGCGAGCAGACACCACCCATACCGAATTGACCCATAAGACCACCGAATAATCCTTGGGTGAATGGGAAACCACCGGCTCCCCACATTCCTCCCATACCTAATCCACCCATACCCATTCCACCCATACCGAGTCCACCGAGACACTTTTCTTTGACTGTGTTGCTATCAACGCCGGTTTGTTGGTCTGATCGACGAGTCAAAGCCTTGGTGTCCTACAAGCCCAAGGGGGAAGACAAGATGATAATGAGTCAGCATTTGAGACGCCGAGGATGAAAACTAACGATATGAAAGGAAAGACTGACGGATTTCATTTGTTGGTCGTTCAAGCCAAAGATGGTTCGACCACCGAAGCCACCGATTCCAGCACCGAAACCGAGACCACCGCCGATTCCACCCATTCCGCCGAAACCAAGACCCTGAAGTCCAGGGAGGAATTGGTTTTGGAAGATGTTGAAAGCACCGGGGCATGCGGCAATGACATTACATTGACCCCATCCGAAACCAGCACCCATGAATGGCGAGCAGACACCACCCATACCGAATTGACCCATAAGACCACCGAATAATCCTTGGGTGAATGGGAAACCACCGGCTCCCCACATTCCTCCCATACCTAATCCACCCATGCCCATTCCACCGAGACACTTCTCCTTGACAGTGGTGCTATCAACGCCGGTCTGTTGGTCAGATCGACGGGCCAAGACAGCTGGAGCATCAAGAGCAGAAGAGAAAGTTGGTAAAGCTACAATAACTTGCAAGACAGCCAACAAAACAAATAGTGAGAGTGTGAAATGCATGATGTGGAGTTAGAAGATGTGTTCGTAAAAAATCTTTAATCTGATGAGGGTAAGTAATAAAGAGTGGTGATGTTAACTGGGTTAGAGAAGCGTTCGTAACAGTGTATGGGTTGGATGAGGATGAGGGATTCTGCAAACACGCTCCAAGGTTCAGGTTTTATAGCCAAATCCATTTGTCACGATGAGTGATACGACGCGCTTGTATCTGACGCAGTGGTCTAGTCCCTGTTGTTGGCTTCAGCTTGCAATCTCACCTCGGTGCGTTTCAAGCCGCCAGCCACTCAAGTAGGGAAGTTTTTTGTCTTCACACGTTCACGTTTATTCACAATACCGAGCGAGGAGCGGCTTGGGCAGCCAAGTCGCTCAACCGATGTCCGTCAAGAGTGTCTCACTCTCTTCAGTATACTGTAAATGATAAATTTGATACGATATACTTAAATATATCGATTGATTGATGTGAGTCATGGCATATCTGGGGTCATGCAGTACAATCTCCCAACTCAGTACAGTCCTTTCTTAATTCGTGCCCTAAATTAGAGAAATCGCATCACAGGGATTCAATTTGAGTGTGTGTGTGATAAATCAATAAGTAAGTACGCCGACTTGATCAAAGGCTCCAGGACTCTCGAAGTTTCTTGCGACGTCGATTCTCGATTGGTGTGAATCGAGTGCAGCAAGGTTTTTTGAAATGGACTGGGACCTTGGCGAGTGCGGAGTGTAAGTAATTAAGAGCATGTGAGAGGAATAATCGAATACTTATTAAAGTCGAACGGTCTCTTCGAATGCCGTTGTTGGTCGTGATCTGACTTCGGAGGCAGATCAAAAACATTCAATGGGTTTCCAATTCAAAGTCGTCGGCGGACGGATGATCACAAGGAAACTTGGCGGCATCGGTGGGTATCAAGGACCTGTCATCGGTTCAGGAGCTCTTGTCAAGTTGTACATACTGTACCCAGGTGCTCACTGCTCATGTACTGACCCAGGTGCTCTTCAAGCTCAACAAATTCTATACCTCACGTTGTTTCCACTCGAATTATTCCTCCCTCAAAGACTTTCTTGCCCGACATGCCTATACGCAACTTCACCTTAATTGATGTTTGTCGTACTTCATTTCGACTATTACTCTTTTGCTTCGTGACTAGTTGAAAAACATGTTAGACCAAAGGACTTCAAAACCACATTATGACACTTGAGAACCGATGCCTTGGATTTGACCCCATATGATATTATTTCTCCATTTGCGTGTAGTTTTTTGGATCTTTGATCAGATGAAATGATTGAAGATCTTTGATGAGGCAAAAGGGGATCTGTTACAAAGTTCATTAACGCTCATTGGGCATCAAATGTGAAATCGTCCATGTCTCCTACCTCTAGTTTACAAAGACAAACATTAAGCGTCTGTACCACATTTGACTCAAACGGGTCACATTCATAAGACACCTGCGTTGCCTTTGAGTAGCGATGTGGACCGCAAAACTAACTCGCAAAGTACATCGGCGAGTGATCATTATCAAAAATCACGATCAGCATGTAAAATGTAGGAATCTGGATGACATTTTTGTCCTCGATGCACACAGCATAAACATAGGATGACACGAAAAACAGGTCAACAAAAGCAACCTGTTACCCGGGTTTGAACCGGGGTTCCCAGGAATTTGGGAAATCAGAACCTGGTGTCCTAACCACTAGACGATAACAGGAATGATTGTTGGCCCGAATATTAGAGTATCGAATCGCAAGACATTTTCTCGCATACTCAGAATGCACGAAGCACCAAGATTGCCACGCAAAATTCCACTACCAGCTCATGGGTTTTTGAACAAAGAATGGTAGTATATACATTCACCTTGATAGGATAGTCGTACAACAGCTATTAGCTTTATCCACAAAGCATTCAATCAAAACGCAAATTAATTCAGCAAGCAGGGGTGATATAACAACACGAGGAAAAAAAAGTGAGAAGAGGTATCAACTTTGAGCTTGTATGACTAAGCCTTGATGACCAGTACTGAGCCAATCGAGTACTGAATTCCAACACTGTTCACCAATTTGCATATGACTCCCATCACATATACCATAAGCAATTCGACCAGATTCGTCAAGTTGCTTCAAGCCGATGTAGTCCTGTTGGAAGATATATGACGATTGTTAACTGAGACGAAAAAGAATCATAAGAAATGTGAGGTAATCATTACCTCTTTATAGATCGGTAGATGTTCTAAGGGGACTGATTCCTCAGTACTCGTCGAAACACCAAAATGGGCTGACGCAGCTGGTTTGACAATTTGCTCCTCGCTACATTGTTTGGAGAAGATACATCAATTTCCTCAACGGACCGACTGTTAAAAGCACTCGCACAAGACTGACCTGAATCTGAACATCACGAAGTTCTCCAAAGAGAGCATATTCTTTTTGTAAGTTTGATTCCGATGCTGCTGCGGAAGATCCTGACGAAGAGCAGGTCTGGAGGTGAGATTTTCTGCCGGTTGTGAGTCATCCGCAAGTTCGTTGTTGATGTCCCGAAGGAAATTATTGTGCTCAAAGTAAGGCTCCAGATCTCTTTGATCACGGAAATACTGAGCTGGAAGGACTGTGGTTCGGGAAATATAAGCAAAGATTGTAGTGTAAGTAAATCACATCGTCTTTGAGAATTTTGTAGGGGATGTTCTCAACTATGTTCCTGCGCGTAAGACGAATAAACCGAGCCAGTGCTGATGAGACGTTTCACGATTCGACATCCAACATCAAAGAATCCTCGACAAGGAGGGTATTCGGACACACCCATATGCTTCACACGTGAGAGAAGTCAGACTCGATGTATCTTCGTGGGGTACTCAATGTGAATGCTAATATGGCGAACCTGAGCGCCCATAGTGATCAAGTTCCTGACTGGTGGTTGATTGCATCGTTCGACGTAGGCTCGGATCAGTTGACCACCTTGCGAAAATCCTATCCCATCGAAACCTTCTGCGAGCTCATCTATCGTCTTCAACTCTTGACAAACATATCTACAGAAAGTGGCATAGGAACAAATCGTTGCAGGTAGGTAATTGATGTAAGATTGTTCTTCAAGATCGTGAGCTTGCATGGATGACCGTTCATGATACTCACTCTACTTCCGCATTTGCAGATCCGAACCATGTCGCTTTTCTGTAACACCGAATGAATCACCTGTAAGCCAAAGTAACATGTGTCGAAGTGTTTATAGTCATGTCATCACTCACTGGTCTTCATCGGCTCTTTCTGCAAGATGTATCAAGTATACAGACGTTCCTGGGTAGCGTTCCGCGATGGATTCAGATAATCGACCGAATTGCGGGTTTTTATAGCTATCTCCTAGACCATGCCAGATCTGTGAATCGATGAGATTATGAGGATAAGTCAATAAAGATGAAATATTTCGAATTCATGATTGAGCTTCTACTAACGACTACAGGAGGTGTTGTTGTTGTATACGGAAATGAATGACTTGAAAGCTTGATGATTCGAGAAAGAGGTGTTGGGTTTAGGGTGAGCTTCGAAGTAGCGATAGAAATGTTGATGATGTGTGATATGATGATGACGAGGGAAGCTTTGCAGAAGACCATCCTTTATGACTTCGACAAAATGTTGGTATATCAGGTACTGAATGAAGTGTCTTGAAGTATGATTGACGCTATGTGAGTGTTTCAAGATATTAATAAGACTGTTGACCGCCTTAGTATCCGGAGGCGATATTCAACAGTACCGGCAGTTCAGCTTAAGTACCGGCCCACAATTAGACTTTACACAATGCACTCAGCTCAATGGATCAAAGACCCTGTAGACAATAGAGAAAGGACGGGAACAATTGTAATTAACTTTGTAGTCAAATCACTTGCAAAAAAGATAGAAAAAGGTGGACTTTATTATGACGGTAACAGATTCAAAAGTAAGACTTATGTTCAGGCTCCTATGATGTGTTTTAATTGTCTAGACCTTAACTACACCCAAGCAACATGCAAATTCACTGCTCACTGCGTTAAATGTGGTGATCCCCATAATACAAAAGAGTGTGCCAACAACAATTTTAGCCAAACTTGTTCCCAATGTGTGAGCTTTGACGCCCAACAAACAAAGACTCAAATTGACAGATTCCTTGCTAAATATGCTCACTCTCTTAAAAGCCTGTATTTCCCTGTAAGAAACACTCAATTTCAGATCACTAACCAACAAACAATCAAAGATGAGTCAGAGGTACCAGTACCAAACACCAAACCCAGCACCAATGGACAAAGATCCAACACAATTCAACTATGCTCCTAACAACTTACCAACACATTGAACCAACTTCTCAGCTCTCCATTTCAACTGTTATAAATCTCAAAACATCACCTTATAAGGACTCACTCAAATGCAATACTTGGTACTTGCATGACAAGAACTGTGGTTTAATTCCCTCTCAGCCTGAGCCCCAAGCACTATCCGTCAAGTAGTGGCTTTCCCAGACCCTGAGCAACAGGGACCTCAAGACACCTGCCCAAACACCGGACCTATTGGGGACCCAGCTCAGGGCTTGCTGAACCTACAATGCAAGTCATCCATCAAGTAGTGGCTTACCTGGACCCCAACCCTTGGGGATATCCAAATGAAAGGGATCTCAAAATGCCTGCCCAAACACCGGACCTATTGGGGGCTCCGTTGGGTTCCCATTTGGGGACCTGGCTTGGGGCTCGGGTCTTGGGCTGAATTCCCTCAATCTTGCTTTTACAACGCACAAAGAATGGCACTTGATCACAGCCTACAACCACCATCCAACCACCTGGGAGGAATGACCCAGAGTGGTAATGTACATCACAAATCTCAATTCAACCAAGCTAATCAGATATCATCCTATTGGTAGTCATCAAAGAGCCAAATTCCCAGATACCTCAAATACACATCACTTTGTGGTATGACCCACCAAATTCACTCAGAGGATTGGTCACACTTGAAAGCGGGGTACGCCTTCATCACAACCAACATCTCCCATCCATCATCACAGCCAACTCCAACCTACACCATAGCTACTGGAACTCACCAAGCTACAACAGTACAGAAGCCCAGGCAAAAAAACTCATGCACATCTGCGGCTCAAAAGGCTTTAAACTTGCATCCCCAAGAGGCACACTCCCAACATTCTCCCCAAAAACTACTCCAACTTCTGTGAACCAAATATGGACTAGCTGGAATATTACCAATAAAATTTCTGGTTGCAAAGGGATAAAGAATGGCATAGTATTGGATCACCTACCAGTAGCTATTATCACTAACCTACGCCTCACTCCTCCTGTTCTTGAACACATCTCACTGAAACTAACTGACATAGATACTGATCTTTTCCACAGTAAAATCCGCTAACATTCCCCCTTACTCCCACCAGTGTGCTTGACAGAAGATGACATCAACACAGGTACCCTCGGGCTGTCAAAAATCATGCTTGCTGCAGCACATGACCAAGAGAACAAAGTAAAAACTAACCAGAAAAAATTCAAGGCCTGGTGGGATAAGGATCTTCTTGACCCGATTCTCAAAATTCAACACCAAGCCAAACAATGGATGATTCAATTTAACCTCCCTGGAGCGCACAAATGTTACCACAAATGACAGAGATTCTTCAAAAGTCAAGTCCTCAATGCAAAAGCCAGTCATTGGAAGAAGTTCTTACCAATCAGTTGCGATGACACCACCTCCAAGGCCTACAGATATACTAAGCCCGCAGCATCTGGAGAAGTAGGCCCACTTCTACAACAAGACAGCACAGTGACCACCAACAAAGACACACAAGCCAGACTCCTATTTTATGAGATTTCTGTAGCCCATATTGAAGCTGACCTAACAGACATTCTGGCTAATCAACGGTAACTTATCTGTACCTCTCATCTTCACCACCCAGCCCTTGAGACGGATGAACTCAGACAGATTGTCGAAAAATCCCCCAACAAGAAAGAAAAAGGTGGTGACAACCTCTCAAACAAATTGATCAAACTAGCGCTTCCCACAATCAACCAAGAATTATGCAGACTCTTCAATGTCTGTTTTAAACTTGGATACTTCACAAATGCATGACATTCCGTAATCACAATCATCATCTGGAAAACAGGCAAAGACAATTATTCCAAACCAAATTCCCATAGACCAATAGCCCTATTAAGTTGCTTGGGTAAAATTGTAGAAAAGATTATTACTAGCAGAATCACGTACTGGGAAGAAAACTTTAAGGTAATCTCACCTTGCCAGATGGGTGGGAGATGCAAGCACAGCACAGAGAATGCTTTAATCATCTTAATATCTTGGATCAAGTAGAAATGGTGCAAGAATCAGTTGGTTTCAGCTTTATTCCCAGACGTCAAGTCAGCTTATCCATCAGTTTATTGCAAGAGACTACTATATATTCTCCAAAAAAAGTCTTTGCCCCCTGGTATCTAATCCATCTAGTACAAGGGTTCCTCACCAAAAGATTGACCAACCCCCATATGCAGGACTTCCTCTCAGACACCTTTACAATAGAGAACGGGTTGCCTCAATGCGTCATCCTCTATATCATATACAACTCAGGTATACTAAGTAAAGATCCACCCAATCCACACGCCCAAAGCTTGTCATTAGAATTCATAGAAAATGTAGTCCACTCAAAATCCATCAAATCTTTTAATGAAAAATTGGTCTATCTCAAAACACACGCTGATAGATCACTAGCTTG